CTGGTATGTGAATGGTATTGCTAAAGTCTTTTTCATTTTGTGCAAGACTCAAGCCTGGCTTCTGTTAAATAGAAAGCTCCCGAGTACATTTGAAAGATGATTAGATTTACAAAAGTTCCATTTGTCCACAACCTTTCACATAGCCTTGCAATAACAAAGGAGAGTTACACAGGTCTGAGTCCATGTGATTTGGGGAAACGAGTAAAGCAAGAAGCAACGCATGCAAATTTGTGCAGCCACGAGGCTAAGACCCAGAAAGAAAGCAGATGGGACTGAAAAGGAATCTTGCAGCCGGAAAAAGGCTTCAGTATGAACTGTAGCCGTGAACCACCACTGGCCCCACCCTGGTTCCCCATTGACACAACCCTACAGGTTCTGACTGCTCCTCACCTTCCATTCCCTTGATATTAGGAAGCATAAGAAACGTTCAGAGGAATTTCATCCACCTGGGGGACAATGCTTTACAGTTGATAGATTCTTTTTTTACCCCATCTGAAAGGTTAGAACTAAACATCTTTCTTATTCACTGTTCCTGGATAAAGTGCCTTTTAAAAGGTATTCACCATTGTCATTTCCACCTGTGCTTTCACTCACACACACAATGAAAATAAAGTAATGCTGAGAATGACTGATTCTCCTCTTTTTAATGATGAATTCTACCGATTTTTCGTCCTTTGGAGAAGTTTTTTCATATTCATTTTCTTTGCCTCGCTGAGTTTTTCCCCCCTTCTTCCATCCAATCTTTGATTTCTTTCTCTCCCATTATCTGAAACTTCTACAGAGCTCTAGAAGGACAAGGGCTGCTCCCCCAGCCCTAACCACTACCCATAAACCAACACAAATGCTAGCTGCCAACAATATGAAAATGGAAACACTTTATTCCATCTATTAAAGCATCAGCATGCCCATCAGGGACTCTTTATCAAAAACAATCCAAAGGCAGGTAAGTTGCACATGAACAAATAACTTTGCCTAAAGAGGAATGGCATCCATAATGATTGATGCTAAACCAAAATGTGTTAAGGAGATGGTGTCGGAGGGCTACCTGAATAATGTAATAATGTAGAGGTCACCACGTGGTCACTCATTCAGTTAACATCTTAAAGCACTGACTGTGTGCAGGGGCACTGGGCTAGGAAATTAGAGCTTGAGGGAAATAACACACAGCCCCTCGAACGGAGGAACTCATAGCTTTAGTAGTGGGAGCCCAAAGTCCAGGTAACAACTAGATGTAAATGAAGTTTCTCTTTCTTCCCTCTGCTTCTTGAGTTTATACAGACAAACGCACTGAGGATTGTCCCACAAGTTTTCCAGAGGGAATGGAAACCCACTCAACAGAAAGAAAAGACTCAAGTCCAATTTCACATTCCATGTCAGGATCAATCTAACCCAAGCAAATATCACTTTAGGTAGGGCACGCTGGTACCACAGTAACCCACCTGGCAATGGTTCATTCATTTAGGAAACAGGTATTAGCACCTACTATGTACTAGACACAGTGCTAGGTGCTGGGTGAAGGATGCAAAAATGAATCAACGAGGGTTTCATTCCTTAAGGCACTTAACAGTTTCCCATAAATGAGCCAGAAAAAAACAGATGGCAATCCAAAGCCCTGCGTTTGTTACTTTTCACTTAAATTGATTCCCTTTGTTCACCAAACACTGATTGTGTTCACACTGTGCACATCGCGTATGTGAAACTAAATCATGCCCAGGTTTCTCCTTAAAGACCTCAAAGAAATAATGCGCACAAAAGGTACTGAGCATGGAGAACAGCTCAGGGAAGGCTACAGGGGAGTTGGCATGTGAGTCGAGTTTTGAAAGGTGAGTTAGAATTAGCCAGGAAGAGGACTCTAGAGAGAGGGAGCCACAAGTGTAACAACAGAGCTGTAAGAGAGTAGGGTGGGATCCATAAGGGAGACCATTTAAATGGTTCTCTGAAGGAGAGGCAGGGAAATGATGCTGAAATGGTGGGGGGACTAAACGAACAGCTACACCCCACACCAAGGAAAAATGGGATCCAAGTGCCCAGTGATCCTCTTTAGTGCTCATTAGTAAATACTAATCCCATGAAAGTGAGGTGAGTGAGAATCTATACCTTTACTCAAACTGTTGGTATGTGAAAACAGTGGTTAGGTGAGACAGGTAAGCATAGTTGTAGAAATAGAAACACATCCTCATTTGCTGCAGACATTAAGGATTTCCATGCAGGCAAGAGAAGGTTTCTGGAAAGCAAGCAGTGATTACAGTTGATGAGAGATCTGCAACGTAGCCTGTGCCTGGTCTGCAGGCTGTGACCTGTGTTTAGGGACAAGAAATAGAGTTGTCTTAGCTCATCCAGCTGTCTGATGGTAGAACAGCTGTTTCTATTAAGGAGCCTAGTGATAACTTGCCAAGTGCCTCAGTGACATGGTTCATGACCTGGCCACATAGCCACAGCACCTGTCACGACAGGTTTTGAGACAAGAAGGGTTTGAATGTCAAGGGAAGCAGGCAGTGAGGGGATGTTCCAGGGGACAAATTAGCATAACATTGTGCATAAGAGATGTAAAAGGTCTAGCTGCTGAAACCAGACGATCCCCAACAACCTGCCTGGGCATTGGGAGCATTGGTTACATTGTTTCCATTTTTATTGCTTGTTGTGATGCAAAGGCAGGATTCCTGCACCTGGGAGAAGTCACAGGCTGTACCAGGACTCAGGGCCTCATAAGAAAGGAAAATACACAAGGGCCCTGTCCCTGAATAAGATACAGGAGATGGTTAACAGGCAACGAAGTGAGACTTGAGTCACTGGGAACAGAGCACAGGTCCAGGCACGACGTCAATTAGATTTACTGCGACAAATAATTAAACTGAAAGGACATGGAAAGCTACTGAGCTGGGGGACAGGAATGATCTCAGATTCCAGGGTCAAGGAGATTTAGCTTCAGGAGCTAGAGGGCTAAGCAGCAAAAGCCAAGAAGTGCACTGTAGCTGCACCTGATGTAAAGCTAAGAAAAGTAACCACGCTTTCTTCTTCAGACATAGCTTTCTATTTTTGTGTTTCTGTTACCCACCAATGCCACTTTCTGCCCTGCTGGGTTTTTTTTCTGGAGGTAAAGGAGTTAATGGACTCGTTTCTTCCTCCTAATCTCAACTTTTGCCAAGTTTTGCAAATAGCTAAGTCTAAAAACAGTCCATTCTGGCACTGTGTGTGTGTGTGTGTGTGTGTGTGTGTGTGTGTGTGTGTTTATGCTGAAACTGAATTTGAGTCTAGGTCATTGTAATACCCCAAAGCAATAAGAACACAATAATTGCTACCATTTACTGAGCACCCACTATGGGCACTGTGATGAACTCTTGAATCTCGAATCCTTATAGTTTCAGAGGATAGGATTTCATTTCTTTTATAGGGCTAATGCTGAGACTTCCCAGTGCTTCCAAGAACGGAGCTTATGATACCAACTAATCTATGAAGAATATATCATCACATCTCCCTGTAAAGAGCAATGTCTATAAAAGTAATGCCCACACTTAGACAACTAGGCAGAGCACTCCATCTAAAATGGCTAAGTCAGCCAACCAACTGATCTGACTGATTTTGTCCAGGGAACTGACTAGTTGATTGACTGGCGTGTCAGAATAACACAGTTACTTCGGCATCATGTTGCTACTGTTTTGCAATGTGCCTCTCCTGGTGAAATGAAGTGAAAAGTTAAGAAATTACTATAAATATTTCCTGTTTCAAAAATGCCAGCCTAGATTGTTAAAACCTCAAAAACTGCCATAAGCCAAGCTGTATGACTTGGACTGACGAAAGGAAGCAATGGACAGACAGATCCTTATACTAGAATGCATTAGGCGGATTCTTCCCTCTGGTTTTGCCTTCGTCCAGCTAAATCTCAACTCACGCTACTTCTTCGAATCATCTAACAACTTTGTTTTTAAGTTTTTATTCAAATTCCAGTTAGTTAATATACAGTGTAATATTAGTTTCAGGTATACAACAGTGATTCACTTTCGTACAATATCCAGTGCTCATCACAACAAGTGCACTCCTTAATCCCTTCATCTACAAAGCTTTTATTTCTTAATCTTTTTAATGTTTATTTAATTTAGAGAGAGAGAGACAGAGTGTGAGTGGCAGGGGGAAGGGGGGAGACAGAGAGAGAGAGAGAGAAAGAGAGAAAGAGAGAAAGAGAGAAAGAGAGAGAGAGAGAGAGAGAACTCGAAGGGGGCTCCAGGCTCTGCACTGTCAGCACAGAGCCCGATATGGGGCTCAAACTCACAAACTGTAAGATCATGACCTGAGCTGAAGTCAAACACTCAACCAACTGAGCCACCCAGGTGCCCCCATCTATAAAGCTTTTAAAATTGATGGAGGGAGGCCCCAGAGATTAAACTGATTAAACTGGTCTGGGATGGATCCTGGACAATAGTACACATTTTTAGTTTCCCAGGTGATAATAACATATAGCCCTTATTTAGAACCCTGGATTTTAGTCATATGACCCCTTTGGGCCTCAGTTTCTTGTTTATTTAATGAGGATGTTGGACCAAGTGATATCTGGGCCTTGTATAGTTTTAAGATTCCCTGTTAATCTTGGTCTCATCCCCTGCTGGCAGGCAGCTCTGAAAAGACCACTTTTTCTTTGCATAATTCAATTCTCAAATGCCGCCAAGACGGCTGACCTACCACAAAGGGTTGGCATGTGGGTTAATGAGATCATATTTGCAAAGTGTTTGGGGCTCTTGGGAAGGAATCTCTAATATATGCAGCTAAAGAATGATTACAGCAACATTAATGTCATTTTTTTTAAGGAAGAGTAAACCACAGTTCACAACCCTGCATCTGCCATAATTAGACTATCTTGCCTGGATGGAGAGTGGCAAAGTGGAAAGCAGATTAAAGCAGGTCTGCTCTTGTTAAGACTGGATGCCAGGTCAAGTCTCCGTGAGATAGGTCTATGCAATCACAATTGAAATGGACTGGTCTTTAATCTATGTAGAATCCTCTGGTGCTCCAGCACATATCAGTAGACTCCTTTGTGGCCCAAGTCTTTGTAGACCTATTTCCATATAATAGGGACAAAAGATGAATCTTTTGGGTCTTTTCCAAGAGAAAATAATCATCAGTGGGACTCAGTTTTTAAGATGTTCCTATCTGTGCTATTTCTGATACACTGAAATTGGAACCTATGAAATAATCTTTCTTTAAGAACTGACACATTAGACCCACCCAAACACAGGCTATAGGAACCTGAATGGATTGCAAAGACCCTAAAGACCAAGAAAAGTGAATGTGTACCTGGCTGCACTGCTTACAACATCCATAACCTGGGTAAGTCTTTTCCTTTCCTCTATCTTATTTTCTTCTATTAGATAACACATGAAAAGTACCTAGCAAAATGTCTAGGATAGCTCAATAAATAAATATTTAGTTTCCAATCTCTGTACTGCACATGGGGAACCATTTGGTTGATACCATCAGACTTGATATCAGTAATTTACAAGTAAAGTCAATCTGCCAAGATGGCACTGAAGGCCACTAGTAAGCCAGATCTTTTGTTTTTCATGGCCCATCTGTAATCTCATTCATTCATTCATTTACTTATATTCAACTTGTTTTTATGTTTTTCCCAATGTAGACCCAGAGACAGACTCTGTCATTAATGATCAATCAATAATTGAAATTCTAGGGAATATGAGAATTTCAGAATTCTCTCCAAACAATCAGGGTGATTCAGAGGCACCAAGTGATGTGAAAACCAGTATTTAGTGTTATATGTTTAAGAATCACCAATTACGATCATAACATAAGCTGATGAAATAAAAATTAACTTGGGATCTTGAGAAAAGTTAGGTTCATGTATAGGTTTTAAAATTCCACCTCAAACACCAACAGGTTTTCTCTGGAACTTGGAAAAAATGATTCTACAATTCTTATGTTAAACAGTTTAAAATGATTTTAAACCTTTTTTTCAAAAAAAGAGAATCAATGGAGAGATGGGAGATTCTATTATCATACATTAAGGTATTTTATCAAGTTTCAATTTTTAAAAAGTGTGGTGTTGACACAAAAAATATCAGTGGAACTGAATGGAGATTCCAGGAACAGACTTAGGTCTACAAAATAATTTAATGCATGACAAATGGAGCATCTCAGTTGAGTTGGAAGGGTAGGATTAGCCAATAAATACTGCTAGAGCCACTGATTAGCTATCTGGGGAAAAGTTCGTTTAGAGCCTCAATTTGAATCACCTACCTCAATAAAAGGTAGATAGAATAAAGTAAAATAACTATATAAAAAAACACACTAGTTCATAATAATGAAACTCAATGGAAATACAAAATAGTATTCTATGCATCTCTAAATAAGAGAGGACTTTCTAAGATTACAAGTACTAAAAAAATTAAAAGAAAAGGGGAAAAGATCTGACTACATGAAATTTTAAGACTGCATAAAAATTATTTAAAAGTCTTTTAAACTAGGAAAAATGTAAAATGCACATGGGTTGCTGCTCCTGATATCACCCAAATAACTTAGAAAAACACTATTAGTAGGTAAAAAAGGCTGTGGACGTTAACTGAAAATTCACACACATACATACTGCTAACAAACATGAAAAATTGTTCAAACTCACTAGTAAGCAAAAAATTGAATTTTAAAAGAAGATAGCATTTTTTTCTTTACCTATTAGATTGAAATATATTTTTTTAAACTAGCATTCAGTTCTGACAAGTGTTCAGTGAGATAAGCATTCTTATGCACTGCTAGTGGGAGTATAAATTGTTCTAGCAGAGCATTTTTAAAAACTCTCTGAAGGCAAATATAGATAGTCTTTACAATGCGCCTACCTTTTGACCCATTAATTTAACTTACTGAAACCTATCCCAAGAAAATGATCTGATATACACATAAAAGCTTTTTGCATAAGGATCTTCATTGCCCCAATCTTTTCAGGAAAAACCAAACAAATCAGAACAACTAGGAGGCAAACTAAGTGCCTGAAATAAATAATGATAAAGTAAATCATGGGTATCCACAAGATACATTATTTTTATGTCACCTCTAAAAAAGATGTTTATTAAGAGTTTATGTAATGTTTATGTAATGGAATATCTTCAAAATATTACATGTAATATATCTTCAACTGTTTAAAACTCACAAAGTAAAGACTTACAGGATATATTTAATTGTTAAAAGTACAATTGACTCCTGAATAACACTGATTTGAACTGTACGGGTCCCGTTATATGCATATATTTTCAAAAAATATATTGGAATAATATATTTTCAATAAATATATTTTTTGGAGATTCATAACCATCTGAAGAAACACAAATGAACTGCATAGCATAGAAATACCAAAAAAGTTAAGTTATAGATGATTGTAAGAATACAGGAAATAATACACATAAAATGCGAAATATGTATTAATGATTGTTTATGTTACCTGTATAGCTTCTAGTCATCAGTAGGCTATCGGTAGTTAGTTTTGGGGGAAACAAAAGTTATATGTGGATTTTCAACAAAGCAGGAGGCAGAAGTGGTCCTGACCCCCACATTATTCAAGGGTCAACTGAAGTTATTTTTTGGTAAGGAGAATTATGGACATTTATTTCATTCTGTATTATTTCAATTATCAAAAGTCAATTTATTGTTTTTATAATTAAAATTTTAATAATTATTTCATATACTAAGATATGATTAAAATAATAATTTCATAAACAGAACAGATGTAAATTCCAATTATTGCTGTGCAACACAAGAAAAATTAAATTGGGTCTTCAAGCTCAGTCTACCTTTTTTCTACCCTTCTCATCCTTCCTCATCTCTGTGAAGCCCACACACAGCCTTAAAGGAGGAATAAAAGAATCACTTGTTGCATGTCTGATTCTTCTCTTTTTTCCTGGAAGCCAAATGGGAAGACTTCCTCTAAACAGGAGACCTAAGGTACAATGCAGGAAGAAAAATAGATAAATGATTCACAAAGCCTCTTTCCGCTGGGGAAGAGCTCCTGGAATGACCAGCAATTTTGTGATAAAGCGTCCAGTCTCCACAACTGTCTTCCTAATAAGCCAGAAGTGCATTTACTGTAGCTTGGCGGGTGATGATCAGCAAAACTTACAAAAAAATACAGCACGAATTTTCTCCAAATGTTAGCAACCAATTTCACTCTGGGAGGTAAAATTACTGGAACTGATAAGCCAATATTAAGGAACTAAAAAAGCTCCTTAAATATTCCAAAGACCAATTCGAGCCATCGTACCCACATCTGAACAAACGGGAAGATGGCAATCTGAAAATTATAATAAGAATGAATTGATTTTGTACCTCTTCCCTAGTTTCATTATGATCTCTGACAGCAGAATGGATTCATTTTATGTCATTTTCTCCTAGGCTTCATAGAATATTTTCTTTCAGGCCCTGAGAGATGAGCAGAAAGCACAGATGGCCCCGTCTGCTTAAACCCAGCAGAGACTGCGAACGACTTTGGAGTTGTTTAAAGTTGTTCCTTTTCTCCAAGCAACCTGGCTATTCAGCAGCTGTTCAGTGTAAGGCTCTGAAAGATGCAGGTGGAGATGAAACTACCTTAAAGGAAATTTGGGGCTGGTGAGGGGCGGTGTGGAAACAGACCGCAATGAATGTCAGAGGGGAGGAAAGGGTGATTGAGCTGTCTTTTAATAAGTTTTTTTTTAAATGTAAAAGAATAAATATAAAGAATGTAAAACAAATAAAATCCTATTTTTTTGATTTTAGGAGATATACATGGGGTCATGATGTTTACAACTTCCTATCAAATGGTTCAATGACAACAAAAACAAAACTATATATACAGATATATACACACTTATGAATATATGTACATAATTGAAAAATGTAACAGAAGTGTATATGGAGATTCAGAATACCATCCTAGCAACTTTTCTTTTAGATTTGAATAAATTTAAAAATTTAAAAATTATTTGTTCAGTAATTTCTTTTAATAATCCTGTCTCCATATTTGGGTATACACTCTATATTCTAACCAGTCCAGATAACCCTGTATTTATTGAGCATATTTTCTACTTTCCAACCTCCTTTCCTTTGTTCATGCTCTTCCCCTCTGCCAAAAATTATCTTCTTCTGCCACTATTCACTAATCTTTCAGATAATTTTTTTCAAATGCTTATCTTTGAAGCATCCTCTGATCTCTGCCCCTACATTCTCAATAATATTTGATTTCCTGCCTTTGAGTCTCTCTTAAGACTCAGTTGATTAGAGTAGTCACCCAGGCTATGAGATCCCAGAACACCCTCTCCTTCCCCATCAAATCACTAATTACTCCTTACTACCATTGCTTGTTTAACTGTCTCTCTCCCTTTCTGGACTGTCTCTCCCTCCGGACTGTCCTCGCCTGAAAGCAGGGGTCATGTCTATCTCATTCATCACTGTAGTCCAAATTCCTGGGACAGCGCTTGGCAGAGAAGTACTCACCAAATATTCATTGAATGAATGAACAACCTATGTACTGACTAGTTATTTGTCTACTCTTAAATTTTTTTTTTTTTTTGGTTCATCTATTACATGCTACTTGCTTTCCATGATTTCCTCTCATTTTAGTATCTACCCTCCTTTCAGGAACAATGTAGAAAAGGCTATTTGGAATAAATGTGAAAATGAGCATGCCATATAGCATATATTGCCTCAAAATACCTCTCACAGAAATCCTGCATATCCCTGACCTTATGTATATCCAATCCACTACCTATTGCCACATAACAAACTACCCCAAAACTTACTGTATTACAACAATGACCATTTTTTTCTGTCTCATCACTTTGGTCATGAATTCAGGCAGGCTGATTCTTCTATTCCACAAATTGTTAACAGATGTCACTAAGTGGTTTTCAGCTGGGAGAAGGGCTGGTCTGGAGGACCCAAAACAGTTGGCCTCACATGTTCTGTGCCTCAGCAGGGAGAGCCGATAGGCTGGGCTCAACTGGAATTGTTGATCAGAGTACCTACAAGAAGCCTCACCAGTGCTACAGTCAGACTTCTAACATGAGAGCGCAGAGATCCCGGAGACAGTGAGAGCTAGCTGGAAGCTGGAGAGATTCTTTTTTTTTTTTTTTAAATAAATTACTTAATTTATTTAAACTAAACAACAAAAACAATCCATCCATTTCTCCCACTCTCCACCTTCTGCCACTGCCAATCACCAATCTATTGTCTCTAGTTAGTAGTTACTACATTTATATATTAAATCTTCTTAAGATCAAGGACTCTTTCTTATTCATGTCCATATCCATGCACAAAGTAGGTGCCCAACTTGTTGAATTAAATTTGAACACAGCAATGGAGGAGTGTTTCACTTTTACCAAAGGACCAGACTTACTTATTGATGCAGTCACTGGCTCAAGAGTTTAGGTCAAGTAAGGTTTCAGCCCTGGCCATCTAGGGGTTGGAAGGAAAGGCAAAAATGAATGGGTAGGACCATCTGCAGAAGACAGTGCCGTGATGAGCTTCGAATCTCTCTGGCGAGTAAGCAAGTCTTACAGGTAGGGAAAGCTGCCTGAGGGTTAACAACCAGGTATCTTAAGAGTGAGCACTGCATGGGTGTTGCCATCAAATACTGATCAGGAATGGTGAGGGTGAGCAGACCGGTTCCCCACACCTGCCAGTATCCTTTACTATAAAATCAGTATTCAAGCTCAGAAGTCTAAACCCAAAAGGAGAATAATGGCCACCACTTTGGTAATTACAAAATGGCCAAATATTCCCTTTCTGTGTGCATGTATAAAATTATTTTGGGTGCTTTATTATTAAATCAGTACCTTCACCAGCTTCCCTTCATTTTGGGACAGCCAAGTGCTCTCAGCCATAGGTTTACTTACAGGGCAGGATTATCCACATAAGTACCATTAAAAGGAAATCTAAGGAATTAGAATTCTTTTCTATTGCATCTGGAAAACGTGGAAAGAGAGTTATTGGTCAGAATTCATACATGACATACAGAGATTCTGTGTTGGATAGAGAATATGCAGGGTTTAGTATTCCCATCACAAATGACAAAATTCTCTGCTCCCAGTATCACAAAGTTACTATCACATGCATTTCAGGAATGGTGAAGCTCTTGAGAAGTACAGGTGAGAACCATGTTCTATAAATTGCCACCACATGTAAAGACTGTCATGCCTCTATAAATATCCAAAGGAAGGATGATAACAATGCAAACAACTCCACTCATTCCTCAAACCCCATTTAGGTAGAGGGGCTTATCCCCCCACCCCCCAAACACACCTGAGGAGAATGTGCACAGAAAGCTTGGTTCTAGAGACAGAAGGATATTGACCTTTCAACAGAGTTTTCCTGGAAGAAAAGAAAAAGAGGAAGAACATGGAGAGGCCACCTGGTGTAGTGGCTGGAGCACTGTGTTCAGTCAGCAGCCTTGATTCTAGTCCTTTGATACTGCCTTTGAGCTCAGTATCCATGAGAACTTGGAGTAAGTCATTGAGCCCTTCTGAGTTTCAGTTTTACCACCTTCAAAATGGGACTATAAAGACTTTCTTCACCTACCTCACAGAGCTACTGTAAGGAAACAGTGAGATGAGGGGATGTTAAAACGTCTGAAATCTGACCATTTTTGATGTGACTTTTCTCACCAGCCACATTACAACAAAACCAACAAAGTTTCCATAGCATCTTCTCTATACTATTTGTTTCTCTTCACTTGTCTTTCAACTAAAGAAGAAACATGTTCAGAAACTTTTCTAATTAAAAACATTTTTTTTAATTTTTTGGGAGAGGTGGGAGAGAGAGAGAGAGAGACTGCAAGTGGGGAAGGGGCAGAGAGAGGGAGAGAGGGAGAGGAAGAAAGAGGGAGAGAGGGAGAGGGAGGGAGGGAGGAAGAGGGAAGGAGGGAGAAAGAGAGAGAGTTCAAAGCAGTCTCTATGCTCAGCGTGGAGTCTGACACAGGGCTTAATCCACAACCATGAGATCATGACTTGAGCCAAAATCAGGAGTTGGACACTTAACAGACTGAGTCACCCAGGTGCCCCTAAATTAAGAACATTTAAAAAATCTTCTGAATGATCCACTGAGATCCAGCCAAGGCAGTAAGGAGGATATGTGAGTTGTGCTCAATGGATAGGAATATAGGGAAGAGATGAGTTGGGAAGAATGACCATGCATCACTTTAAGAATCTTAGTATTTTTCTTAAAAGATAGAGAATAGTTGGCCAGACTGAAAAAAAAGGAGGGGGGGAGAGAGAGAGATAAAAATTCATTATAAAAGAAGACCTCAAAATGACAAAGAACATTCTATTGTACTATCATCAACAAATTCCATTTGACTGAACAAGAAATGCAAAAGTGGGCCCCAAAAAGGCACGATGCGACAGGTGTGGCTAGGGCCAGCCGGCATATAATATATTCATCTATTCAGTCAGCACACCTGTGTTCACCATGTTCTCTGTGCCAGGCATGTGCATCATTAGGGTGCAGAAGAGGATAAGGACCTTGCCTCCAGATAGGGGAAGTGAATATGCAAAGTAACAACTGTATTTTCTGTGGTGGGTTCAATACTCTGAGAATGCTGGCAGCCCAGAATGAGGATGCCCACAGGGCTCAGAAGTGAGGGGTGGAGAGGAACACGGAAGGGACAGATCCCTCAGAGGAAGGGACACCTGAACGGAGTCTAAAAGGGTGAGAGGTAGGGCAGGGCTTTCACGGCTAAGAGACACCAGAATCAACTTCTCAGAGAAGAAAGACTCAGGTTTAGCTATTACCATGTTGTCCGAAGGAAAGGCCTCAATTCAGTCAGCCCTTAGCCTCCATCTGGGCAGACCGATAAACCTTGCGTGTATCTTCACCATTCTCAGCATTTCCTGAGGCTCAGGAAGCAAAGCTGAGCAGTTCATTCACTTAATTTATTTGTTATTTATATCTGCCTTCTATAAAAGCAATCCAACATGGTTCATAAACGGGAGAAGGACTACACAGAGAATAGGTTGCTATAAAACAGGATTCCTATTAGGAGTAGCTAGCCAATGAGGGCAGACTGGTTACAACACCCCTCCCACCCCCCAGCCAAATAACATTGAGATTAGAGCCCTCCAGAGCTTCCGGTGTGAAGTGCTGGCAACTGGAGAGCTTCCAGAAGGACGGGGGGCCCTGAGGACATTCAGATTTCCTTCACATTGGACTTAGCAGCAGATCTGTCTCTTTGAGACCGAAGAGTCCTTTTGGCTCAAATCTACCCCATAACCAAGAAATGCAGGCAGAAGAAAAGAACCACAGCTTCCCCGGGGCTTAGGGTCTCCAGGTCCTGAACAAGGCAATTTGGGGAGCTAACTCACAGCATATATATGGTGTGTGTGTGTATATGTATATATATGCAACTCACAGCTCTGATATATGGGAACAGAGCACAACCTTAAAGTTGGGAATGTCCATGTTGTTGCTCCCATATATAGCGGCCAACTTCATCTAGGTCAGAAGGGTCCTACTCACAGAGAGGAGCAGAACAGCTCTGAAGGCATGCACAGCCTCTCCTGCCCCAGGAAGGGACAGGTACTAAAGCAGCTCCCCCAAGTCCCCCTAAACCCACAGATGACAAGTGCAACCCTTAACCCAGAGAAGCACACAGAGCCCAGGGAGACTCTCCTCCCAGCTAGTGGATGGTGGAAAAAGAACACCATATATAATAACTAGTGGATGGTGTGAGAAATGTCTCCCACCTAGAGAATGAGGGGGAAAAAAAAGAAAAAACAAGAAATGTGAGAAACAATAACCCATTTGCTTTCCCAATTTGTAGTTCCCCTTCATTGCACCTAATTTGAAAAATACATAGAATTTTTTTAAGCTCAATGACTAGTCATCTATCTCTTGGTCCCAGAGACTGTTTTTGTTTAAAAGAAAGAGAGAGAGAGAGAGAGAGAGAGAGAGAGAGAGAGAGACAGAGAGAGACAGAGAGAGAGAGAG